GCCAGCGCGCCGGCTCCCACGAGCTCACAGGCGCCCCCCTCCCCCCCAAAAAACATGACTAACTGGTAGCCGAGGCGCACACCCCGCACAGTCACACCACGATAATACATGCAGATTCTGTGAATAGTACCCTCGCAATGTTTTGAGAAGACAACGAACGACATATATAGATCAACAGAGGTGTTTTCGTTGTTCGTGATTAACTTTCACCTTTGACCCGCAACTAATCTTGAATTTGCCCCCATGCATGAAAATAATCGCAGAAATGGACTCCCTGTCATGGGAAATCCCTCATAAGCTGCATCAGACGACCCTCCACGTCACTGAGAAAAAAAAAACGTTGAAAATGGACCAAAATTCAAGATGGCGGTGTCCGCTGTCCTGGATTATGGGGAATGCTCAAAGTTGCATGAGTAGCAACCAAGCTCATTTTGATTTTTTGCCACATAGAACACATTTCCGTGAAAAAATCGCGGTAGTCGACATTGCAGGGTTTCATATCATAAGTATAAGAGTAACAACCAGACTATATTGCCTGATGCGCCTCTGCTCGCTGTGCCTGGATTACGCAGCCTTACTGTGCCGCGGGGCCGTGTAGCCCAAGTGTAACGCGACCTCAGTGCACGTAAAGCCTGCGGCCCCGACGGCCAGGGGAGTGTGCCGAAGAGCTAGCTGTTCCGTTAGGAATAATTATGCAAACTTTCTCTTAACCCTGGTGTCTTCCCGGCCGTGTGGAAGCAAGCAAATGTGATACCGATGCACAAGGAGGGGTCCAAAAAGCTGCATTAACGTGACAGGCCCGCGTTTTTGCTTTCTATATGTTCCAAAAAATGCATATTGGAGAAATTGCTAACAGAAGCTTGTCACAGGTTTCTCGGTCCGCCCTAGCATCATCCCAGCGCGGATTCCTTCCAAAGCGTTACCGTATCACAAACCTTTCATGCTTTCTTGAACCCTGCTGGACATCGATCTCAAAAAGTTAACAAACAGATGCACCGACTACACCGATTGCTCTTCAGAATTCACCAGCATGGCTGTCTCCCGCTACATAAGCTTCGCCATTCTTTTTCATCGCCAGCCGCTCCTTTAGCTGGCTGGGGTCGTACTTGAGCAATCGCGTACAGTGCGTAGTACTGAATGGCAAGAAGTCTGACTAAATTCCAGTGCGATCTGGTGTCCGAGAAGGTGACATTCTGGGACCGTTGCTGTTTGTCTGCATGCTGACTGTTGTTCCTGACCAAATGAAGAGTAGTGCTCTATGTGCGCTGATGATACGCTGGGCACAGTACCATTGTTTTGAGCGGTACTACCGTTTCACACTTCGTTCGGTTCTAATGACCGCAACACCGGTGTCCTCCATTGGATTATGGCATGTTCTCGGTTATTTTCAAACAGCATCTATCAAGGCACGGCTTTCTCCGTCTCACACATTATTTCTATGCAACAATATAACACAATTACTTTTTTACGGAAGATATTTGTATTATATATATATATATATATATATATATTACATTCCAATTTTTCAACAATTTCTACACAATTTCTATTTTTCATGCATTTTTGCCAGCTCTACTCTGTCTGACATATTATTTCTATACAACACACATCATCAGAGGCTTATCCGCTCTCACCTGACATCCCTGCTCGGTCTAGCGACACCCACCCGGCACTCTCAGAATACCGGCCTCATCCACGAGCCATTTGCGAAGGTCAGCACTGTTAAAAATGGTTTGTCACACGTCTACCCGTTGCCTGCAATCGTTTCCTTCAGCATTCTCTCTCAACCGACTTTTTCCAACCAATAAAATCTCACCGGTCGGATGCGTTTAGGTTCACCAGCACTCGTAGAGTATTCTTTTGATGGCCGTCGTGTCTGAGTGTATAAGGCGCATGTGTGACTGTGCATAATGTGTACGTCTGACTGTGTGTGATGTGTATGCGTGGCTGTGTGTACTGTATATGTGTGACTGTGTAATGCGTACGTGTGTAAGGCGCATGTGTGACTGTGTGTAATGTGTACGTTCGACTGTGTGTGATGTGTATGCGTGGCTGTGTGTACCGTGTATGTGCGACTGTGTGTGATGTGTATGTGTCACCGTGTGTACTGTGTATGTGTGACTGTGTGTAATGTGTATGTTTGACTTTGTGCAACGTGTATGTGTAACCGTATGTACTGTGTATGTGTGGCTGCGTGTAATGTGTATGTGTGACTGCCCCGTGTGTAGACCGGAGTTTTCCGCCTATGAGACGAGGATCATTGCCAAGCTGCAGAGCGGCGACTGAAATCTGGCCCACCAAAACTGGAGTAAGTGAACACAAACGCAAACATCAAATCTCCCGGTCAGAAAACGCTTCACAAAGTGACCCATGCGCTGATGGGTGGGTGGATGATGAGGCATGCAGCATCAAACGTGGCAGCACTACTTAGCCAAGCGGGTCGGGCTGCCCGGTTCGACTGTCGCTGTGGCGCAGACCCCTGGCCGAATTGGCTGAATGGCTTAAGTGTCCCGGGTCAAATTACGCCGGGTTAAACCTGAACGATTGCGGAAGTCCTGGCCGTCGTCACAGAATGAAACGCCGTGGTGGCAGTACCTCCAGCTTTATACTCACGACTCTTGACTACTCTACGGCGGCTCGACAAGACGCGCTAATAAAAAAAACAGAAACAATAATCGAAACCCAGACCAGTCGAGACCAGACCGCAGACTGCCCGAGGCGGCAGGGGCGCAGTCAGACCTCTGGCAAGGGGGGCACAAGGTTGACAAAAGCCCCCTGATAGTAAAAGCCCTCCACAAAGTCGCGGGATATGGCTCATTTGCCAATGGCACGACTTGTTTTTCTCACGAATTATATATATATATATATATATATATATATATATATATATATATATATATATATATTACACGTTTTCCTTCTATAACTGGAGTACAGGCCAGACGCTACCACGAGCTCCCTTCTGCCTCAAGTTTGAGATAAGTGAACTAACAACACCATGCGTTAAGTGACTGCATGGAATAAGTCACCGGCGCTATTCATTTTCAGTGGTCCAGTGGCCTCTTTTAAACCAATAAAACTCAGAAACTTTGTCAGAATGTGTGCCCAGGTTGTACAGAGATCGCAAGGATTCCATGAATGTAGATTGAACATCCAGATGAGTCAACAATTGGTATCAACATAACTCGGCATGTTTGTTTGGATATGTTCAACAGTCAGCCCAAATTGAGTGGTGGTTCAAATCATGTAACGCAGTTTTGTGCATGCGCGCTCCCGCACCTTGGCAGCAAAAAACTCGACGCCGGGCGTTGCAGTCTCCTCACACCCCGTACCACTCGCACCGCGGCTTACATTAGGCCGTGGCCAACAGGTGAACGAAACTGGCGACAAATCTGACAGAGGCACCTTTGAACGCTTCAGGACATTAGGTCGTACATTCAAAATCGCTCCGGGCGTGTTTCGCCCGTGTGGTTTTTAGATTGATGACAATAATGTATTGGTCTTTACAGCAACGCGAAGTGATGCTGGAACATGGTGGTGGAACTGGAAAACGTAAGGCAAAATATATATTTTCAGTGTTGCTGTGAGTTCACCTGTACAGCGGGCAGCTCCAAGTTACGAAGAAAAAAATCGCCCAGTATAATTTTTAACTGTACGAAATGAGTTTGAAAGACGTTCAGAAACATTATTTTACGATACTCGTTGCGCGCTCGGCGCACTCCCCCTGGCGCTACTTGCAATGGCTAAAGCCGCTCGGTTTTACGAAAACTGCAACCCAAGCTGTCGCTATCCCTGCTCCCCGAGATCGCGTTATGTCATTGAGGTTTAATGACGCACTCAGCTGCTGAGCTATATATGGCGTCGCCAGTCCCCCACCCTGGCGGAAAGGGCAGGCACTGCGGGGAATCGAACCCCATACCTCTGGTTTCCCAGACGCACAGCGCCTGACGTAGGCGGATTGGTGCCGTACTATTGGTAATAGTGTACGCGCGCGTACACTATTGGTACCCGACGCGCAGGCTCAATCCTTGCGATGGTATTTGTTTCACTACTCGATTCTGCAAAATAGTGAACGTTCTCAATGTTGCATGGGATGGCCTTGTGCGTTTTGAACCCATTTCGACCCACTCCATTCGGCACTAATGAGACCCCTTATTTCTTTCCGGTAAAGGGGCCTCCTTGAGTACAACACTACGGGGCACATTGTTCTCGGTGAAGGGCTGAAGGGCCATTCTGTCTCACCGCGGTGTGTTTTTCCGTCCGTCATTCTGGCGACACGGGGTGGCATCCCCTGGCCGATCTGGAGGCCCTTAGAGGGATGATATATCATATCAAATTGGTCTGCTCCCTGACACGGCAGGCCTTCTGACGCGCACAGTTGACTCCAGATCGACGCATGAACCGTCATTAACGTCACAACATCCCTGTTCGCTACAGGTGGTCAAATAATTGACGCATATGCTTCAGTTCGGCTTAACGAGCCCATACTGGAATAGGGCCAGACGGCCCACCTTTCGACACTGGGGGCCCTGGCTGTCACAAGATTCTTCTATTGCCTCAATGCGAGCACTCATCATAAATTCTGATGTTCCCTTTCATTACCAGAGGACTCCGGCCAACGCAAGAATCCCTTGTGTAAACCTTTCCCTGACCGACCCGAGGCCCCCCGTTGACGCAGAATGCCCTGTTAGGCGCTGTGGGCTCCTGAACGAAACAGGAGCAGCGCGACGAATGTAAAGCGCAACCCGGCCTTGTCCCTGCTTGGGAACTGGGCCCCCAGAGCTCAGACGAACACGAAGCTGAGTGTTCGTTGTTCGTGATCTCAGGCCGAAATAGAGAAACGCTCTGTCTTAGGAGTCCCTATCGGTGCAAGAGATCATCTTACTGAAATCTGAGATCACGGTCCTATGGGCGGGGGTCCTTCATGTGACCTACAGCCAGTCCTCCGGACCCTTCAGCCATTCTATCACGGTCCTGTGGGCGGGGGTCCTTCATGTGACCTACAGCCAGTCCTCCGGACCCTTCAGCCATTCTATCACGGTCCTATGGGCGGGGGTCCTTCATGTGACCTACAGCCAATCCTCCGGACCCTTCAGCCATTCTATCGGTCCCTTGACCTTTGATCTCGAGAAACCCTTCGGCCCCTCTTCGGGCCCCCTCAAACACTGCTCCGACTCGAGCCCACTTGCCGCCACAGGGCTCCTGCTCGGCACTGTGGCCCTTAACCGACACAGGAACCTCTCATTGTGTCAGGAACCCCGAACAGTGTAAACCACGGGCCACCGACCTCATTTCTGCTTGGGAAATGGATCTCAAGGGCCCAAACGGAAACAGAGCCGACTGTTGGGTGTTTGTTGTCTGACTGATTCACCTGACCTTATCTGAACTGTCTCTGACCGCATTGTCTCAGAGGCTCCTCAAAAGGTGCACGAGGACTTCTGACCGATATTTCAAGTCACGACCCTACGGGCTGCGATTCTTCCGCCACCGACGATGCCGTGGAGCTCGCGATGGGCCGGCACTGCTGCATTATTGAAGCACATAAAAAACATCCATACTTAAAACACACAGAACTGTACACCACTGTACTCGTCATTAAACAAGGAACACGTTCGTTTAAACTTCGTGTGCCCACAGGGCATGGTCTGATAGGTAAAAAGTTAAGTTGAAAAGTGCGCTTTTCTGGGAAATTTGACATTGGACTTGCCAGAATAGGGTCAATTATTGAACAATAGCGTCAATTACTGAAATCCTTCGGCCCCTCTTCGGGCCCCCTCAAACACCGCCCCGACTCGGGGCCGACTGCCGCCGCAGGGCCCCGGCTCGACACTGGCTTTAACCGACACAGGAGCCCCTCATTGTGTTAGGGACCTCGAAAAATTTAAATCACGAAACCCGACCCCAATCCTGCCTTGGAAATGGGTCTAAGGGGCTCAGATGGACATGGACCCGGCTGCTCAGTGGTCACGGTCTCTGACCGCCTGAGACACCCGCATTGTCTCAGGGTTCCTCAAACGGTGTAAGAGGACTTCTGACTGGTATTTGGGGTCACGAGCCTATGGGCTGTGATTCTTTATGTGGCCTACAGCCAGTCCTTGGGACCCTCACGCCCTCCGATCGGGCCTTCGATGGTCGGTTCTGCTGGGCCGCCCGGGCCCCTCTTCGGGCCTCATCGAACACCTCCCTAGGTCGGCTCGGGGCCCTTGCGAGCGCAGGGCCCTCTGTTAGGTGCTGTGGGCCCCTGACAGATACAAAGCCCCTGACCAGTGTGAATTACTAGCCCCGGCTTTATAGCTGACTGAGAACCGGGCCCTCAGGCCCACACCCGGTCCCTCACCCACCGGTCTGTCAATTCCGCGCACGTGCAGCTCGTACCGGCGCACCGCGTTCGCGGGTGCGGTCTCATGTCCCATCCCGTCCTTCGGCGTCACATTGTATATAAAGACGGCTTCAGCCGCCGAACACTGTGACCGAGCCACGACAGATTTCACCGTTCGGTGGCATCGTTCCACCGCCCCGTTTCCAGACGGCGCATGAGCTGCACGGAGCCGGACCGCGAGCCCCCACCGCCGCGCGAAGTCTCCGAATGCTGCATTGATGCTTGATCACTGTCGTCGTCGTCGTCGAATAGGGTCAATTATTAAACAAACAACATGAAAACTAGCAATAATCGTGAAACGTTGTCAAAACTAATCCAATGATATTTACGCTCAACTCTCGGGGATCGTACCATACCCCCCCCCCCCTCCACCTTCTGTCAGTCGGCGTTATGAAAAGCGGCCATTCAGGGCCAGGGTCAAGGAGACAGATCTGACCATTTGTGTTTTGTTGGAGAGAGGCGTGACATTTTGTACTTCTGGAGCAAGCATCAGCTATGATGGTATGCGCTCACTTATAGCTGTTGGTATAATTTTAAGTGAACAAGAGTGCTCTAGGCAACAGCATTTCTCTGCTGACTTCACATGCTTTATAATGTGTCATTGTTTGGCTGCGTCAGGGAGCGTTTGTATGACAGTATTCATTTTTTATTCTTCAGTCTCCCGAAAGGTGGCCCGCGGCGGTGCTGAATGTGTGCTGATCCAAATATCGTTTGGTGCTGGTGTTTTGGCACCTTCTCGTGGTATTCTTGCATATCTATCGGTGAGTTTAACGTGCTGACTTGTACGCCCATAGGAACTCGTTTATAGCGCTGCTCCATAGTCATTCGATTGCAAGTCTTATTTCCGTAAAGCTATGAAGAACGTAAAACTTCTTTAAGTTTGCAGCGCAAAACGCAATTCGTGTAAAAATCTTGCGTAGTCTGCACATCATTGGTTCAGAGCCAGCTGACGAACGTTATATCTGGAAGTCTTGCTGACGAACGCCAGATATGACCAGCTCGACAACATTTTTTGCCTTGAACGTCACATGACCAGTGCACTTTAATGAAGCCGTTATAGCGTCATCGCTGTCTGGGTAAAACTGAGATAGCCTGCACATCTTTGCGGGCATGCAGCTCAGAAACTGTGGGGCTTTAGGTCTTAGGAAGGGCAGGGCTGTAAACTGCACCGAATGACGTTCAAGATGACTGTTTTAGTTCGAAATCCCATTTAGATGCGAAACATTCTCTTTAAAGAGAGTGAAAGACCCAAGCCTTTTTTAAGCCGATGAAAAATATGGGGGAGATCAATGCCAAAAAATATTATTGTCGAGGCGTTCATACCTGTCGTTCGTAAGCGCGACATCCAGATTAACGGGCCGTCAATAGG